TATATTTATTTATTTATTTACGTTTATGTTTGTTAATAATTCCTGTTTATTTAACTATATATTTGTTAATACTATTGTTTAAATTTCTTATATTTTCATGTATCTTTCCTCTCTTGCAAGGAGCACCTGTAACATAAATAATTTCCCCTCTGGGATCAATAAAGTATTTCTGATTCTGATTCTGATTCTGATAGTATACTTTGCATTATCCTTTCTTGCACAGAATTAAAAACGTTATATGACTGACTACAGCATTACCATAACTATGTAAAGATATAAAATAAGTATGAACAATGCCATTATTATTATTATTACAAGTATCTTTAAGATGTCCATAAAGACATGGGCCCCTCCAACACATTACTGTATCTTTGGCATTTTTTGTTTGTAGGCTATAAAATTATCCCATTAAGACAGGCAGGAAAATATAAGGGTAGTATTTATATAACCAACATACAAACCTCAAAGTAGACCACACATTCCAAAACTATGGACAGTCATCACTTAGGTGCAATATCTGTCTCTAAACATCATTCAAATCCAAATGAAATCTATTGACGTAATTAGTCATTACATGTGTAAATGACCCTCTTAAGTCTTGGAAGTTTGAACGCTATATTCTTGGTGAAAGCAATACATGCAGAATGACATAATGAAGACTAGAAGGGTGAAATAAGTTAAATAGAAGAAAGTGTGGTGTTGCATATAGTCACATAAAGCCATAGTTTTTTTGTGTGTGCATGTGAGGAGAAGGAACCCGTCCTCCTCTACAGCGGGTGGTTAATCTTCTGGGTCTGAGGAACAACTTTTCAGTTAAAAGACTGAGCAGGGATCAGATCCTCAGCCACCAGGGCTCAGTCAGGGGTGTCGCCCCACTTTGCAAGTCTGTTATGAAAGGAGTCCAGAGATAAACTTTTTTGAAATTAAATGAAATTAAATTAAAATAAATTAATTAAATTGAATTGAACTGAATTAAAATTAATTAAATGAAAGGAGTCCAGAGATAAACAATACAGGCCTTTATTTAATAGGTAAAATTGTGAGTAAGTATTGCAATGCAGTGGTTCCCAACCATTTTCCTTGTGGAACCCCTATTCTATGATGAGTGAACTGACGACCCCTGACTACCTGACATATTTAATGTGTATTTCACATTATATTCAATGTATTACAATAACAAGGCAGACCAACTGATAAACTACAATTGTCCCAAACAGTGAAAACAATAACTGCAGGATGTTTGTGGAAGAATTATCAGCAGACTATTTCCTGCAGGCCTAAATATTGCACCAGATATTTTAATAATAGTAGTAATAGACAGACTAGCAGGCCTGAGGAGGCTGTTTGGACAGTACAGTGTGAGAAGCTAAGTCATATACTCCGGTGCCAGATCATTGAGAGCCTTGTAGGTGATTAAAATAACTTTAAAATGGACTCTGAAAGAGACTAGAAGCCAAGAGGTGTGATGTATGGGGATGGTTTTGCTTTAATCAAAATCTAGCTGCTGAATTTTGAATTATTAGGAGCTGATGTGTTGCACGAGTGTTTAGGCAGGTGAGCAAGGCATTACAGTAAT